AGAGAGACACACACATAGAAAGAGACACACATAGAGAGACACACACACAGAGACACACACATAGAGAGACACACACAGAGAAAGACACACATACAAAGACACACACATACAAAGACACACACATAGAGAGACACACACATAGAAAGAGACACACATAGAGAGACACACACATAGAAAGAGACACACATAGAAAGAGACACACATACAAAGACACACACATAGAGAGACACACATAGAAAGAGACACACATAGAGAGACACACACATACAAAGACACACACATACAAAGACACACATACAAAGACACACATACAAAGACACACACATAGAAAGACACACACATAGAAAGACACACCCATAGAAAGACACACACATAGAAAGAGACACACATAGAAAGACACACACACAAAGACACACACATACAAAGACACACACATACAAAGACACACACATGGACACAGTACACCAGCAGAGAGACATGGTGATCTATGTCCAAAGGGATCAATTTGCCCATGTGCGTGGGCACACACACACACACACACACACAGTAATCCTTGCAGTTCCTGTTGCAAATCTGTATTGTGATTAACGGTTGAGAAAAACATACAATTACGTGAAGAGAGGGAGCAAGAGAAGAGAGAAAGAGGGGGAGAACAACAGATGTACTCTTCTTGTTGATGCTGATTGGTTGAGAGTTCCACATGTACTGCAAACGCACACACACAAACCCAGCATTTGCTGGCAACACACTTTCAGTAATTTGGGAGTTGTTGTCTCCACTTACTCAAAAATAAGGAGGAAGAAGGCTAATGTGATTAGCTTTAATATCAAGGGAGGGTAAGGAGGGGACAATAATCACACCCACGAAAACACACCGCACTGTTCATATAGAGTTTCAAGAGATGACGGGATTTTTATTTTGTCGTCTTTTTTGGGGGAGGAGGGGGTTACATGTTGTTCAGTCCTGAGGCATAACCAGGTATTGATTAGAGGTCTTTAGACAGATTGATCACAAGAGTGATTAAGGTGATTCCTCTGGGAACTGGTTGTCAGGTGGGTGCTCAAGATGCTATACTCCAAGCAGACCGTACAGAAAATACATAAATAAAACATGACAACAACAACAAAAATAGAAAAAAGGAAGAAAATGACAGTATCGCCACTGTAATTGACAGTTTTTGATACTTAGTGCTACAACTACAGTACTTTAACTGTATCGTGGTTCAATACCCCATGTATGTTTAAAGAAATAGTTAACAGTTAAGCAACGCTTTTGCCCCCTCAGAAAAGTCAGCGTGTGGGTTTGAAAATGTTACATTCTACCAAACTATGATCAATGGAACCTCTATTCATTGTGGGAAAAAATGCTGCATTTATCAAAACTGTTGGTCAGCGTTCTTCCCGGAGAGATTCCCACAGAGTGGGAATCACAGAGTGGGAATCTCTCTCACAAGCTCAGCCTCACAAGCTAGAACCAGATTCTGACACTCGTGTTAAAATGTACATTTTTCTGTCTCATTTTCTTGCTTTTAAAACAGTACAATAAGCTGTGACGGCTGCAGCTGGTCGTCACACACTTAATTATTTATGCAGAAAATGCCGTTTTTGAAAAAGTTTGTATTTTTCCCAAAATGGCTGATGAAGGAGGCGTGTGACTTGGGCCTCATATTCGCTTATGAGCTGTTGTTTTGCCACGTCGACGTAAAATCTGTGGTATAAACAAAATGGAAACCCCACCATTTAAAATCTAAACATGTGTTCAGAGGCTGTCATCACTGCCAAATTGATTGACAGGCCATTTAGTATACAAACCAACATTTATAACAGCAGAAATTTGGACCAAAATCAAATAAATTTCAGTGGAATCGTCACAATCGATGTGCTTGTGACACAAGAATTTGCGTTATTCGCTACTTGCAAACAAACCGTCTTGCATGTAAGGCATTTAAGTTCTGTAGTTCAGATGCGATACTTTTCTCTGAATGACATCATTAGTGTACTTAAGTTCATGATGTACATAGCGTGTTCTGCCAGAGTTTTGTCTGATGGCAACATGTGGCTGTAAACCAGATGGTTGGCCTGCAACAGTGACCTTCTTGCAGAAAGAAAAGCAGATGTATCCCAACGCCCCAACGTGCACAACACACTCATGCACACTACACACACACATGTGCACTGGTGTTTGTTGTGCACCTGCTGTTTTCCACACCTTGAAGAAGCCTCAGGTGCCGCTGGTCTAAACAGGCAGAACAGAAAGAGAGAGGGACGTGGAGGAGAATCTCCCTTTGAAGATTTACTTTGACACCGAATCCTTCACGGGAAGGAGAATATAATTTCCTCTTCACTTGTTCACTCCACTTGTCGTTGACTAATGGAAGTGCGTTTGGTCTACAGGATGTGTGGATTACACAGTAAGACGTTTATCCAATTATTGCCAAAATGGGTGTAATTGAAGAATAGAACAAACCACCAGCTGAATGTATGGCTTCAAATGATGGTGAATAGTTGGTCTGAAACAGCATGTCGAAAAAATCAATGAGCAATTTGTAGGACAAGAAACACAACACGCAGTGATGCTGACAACAAACAGACCATTACCCTCCAACAGTTTCCCATTTTCATTCACAAAGATAAATGCTAATTCAACCAATCCCCATTTTATAAACCTGTATTTACAGAAGGGCCGTTCTTTCATATTTTGGAAAAGCAGATGTAAAAGAGTTTTATCAAAATGAAAGATGAAACAGTGAATGAGAGACTTTTTTCTGTCCTTAGTAATAGTTATCCTAAAGAAAAGATGAGCATTTTTTACCCTTTACTATGATTCATTAACCCTTTTGCTGAAAGGACAATAATTTGCTCTGGCACCTTTACATTGAGGTGGGAACTGAAATGTTGATATAATATAATATTAAGAAGTATATTTTCTTCAGTGTATGATTGCCTGAAAATAAGAAACGTTATCCTCGAATGAGCCGTTTATCTACATATGGAGCGGTTTCTCTTCACGGAGCTGGCCGCCATGTATCTACAGTAGCCCAGAAGGGACAAACCAAACACTGGCTCTCGATAGGGCCATTCGCGTTTTTTTTGTCGTCGGCCACCGTAGTTCTCCTACACACTTGGCACCTGGGAAACGTTTCAGTTGTTTGCAATCTGCAGCTTCACCGCCAGATAAATCCTACACACCAGACCTTTGAGGATGTGTTTTTTCTTATTAAAATCAATTTATCGGTGGCATTTCTTTTCCCAGCAATATCCCGTTTCTCTGATGAGACAATCAACTCAAATCACACAACAACAAGCTGTTTTCAAATTCAGAGAGGACATCTGTGTGAAGTGTGACCTGCACACGACGAATCGTAAATAACATTCATCATGGATGGGAGGAAACATCAGCATCACTGCTAGTAGATGAATATTGAGTAGCGTGATATTGTCCTCTGTGTGTGTGTGTGTGTGTGTGTGTGTGTGTGTGTGTGTGTGTGTGTGAGTGTGTGTGTGTGTGTGATGGCATGCATTCAGCCTCACCTCTCTCTCTGAGGTGAATCGAGATAACATAAGGGACACGTTGAGTTCGAAAGAGATGGTGAGAAAGAAGAGATGAGGGCGCATAAATAAGTGATGGGGTGTTGACAGGGTGCTGCGTGTCTGTAGGGTTATCTACAGGGAGACTGCGCTTAAACACACATGCACCCGCTCGCACAGAGAGGGAGGTCAGGAGAGGGGGGGGGGGGAGAGGAGCTCTTAGCCTTTTCTGAGGCGCTTTGCCTGTCAGCACATATCTGCCTCATGCAACATGAAGAGCTAAGAGCGACAGAGGGTTGAGAAGGGAAAAAATAAATAAATGCTGGAGCGAAGGAAAAAAACTAACTCAAGAAGGTGTTGGGAGAAGAGTGAGCTAGAGTTAATGAGAAAGAGAGAGAGAGGGAGAGAGGGAGGAAGAAAGAGGGAGGGAGGGGGCTCCTCATCCTCTCTCTCCCTTAAAGACGGAGCCGATCGCTCTCTCCTCTCAGTGGCACCACTGGCTGAGGAGGAAGCCACTGGTGAAATTCATCTCTCTCGCTCTCTCTCTCTCTCTCTCTCTCTATTTTAGCTACAGTTATTTGTCTCACTCTCTCACCCGTGCACGCATCCCTCACTCTCCCTCCAGGTGATCACTCCGTTCCGTAGGCTCATCCTCTGCGCCGAGAACAGGAAAGAGATGGAGGACTGGATCAGTTCGCTGAAGTCCGTCCAGTCCAGAGAGCATTACGAGGTAAGAAGCCCTTTCCAAATCTACAGATCCACGAGTGTGTGTGTGTGTGTGTGTGTGTGTGTGTGTGTGGCGGGGAGGAGGACGAAGAGACGGAGGAGATAGAGAGTGCGGCAGCAACAATAAATCTGTGTTCAGGCGTATCCTCTTTTGGAGATTTTGCGAGTGTTTTTTCTGTTTTTTTACCAAATATTTCCCACCTGAGGATGCTCCTGTAAGTGAATGTATCCTGTTAGTGTTCTCTGGTTTAGTACAAAAGAAAGGGATAAAAAGAGAGAAAGACTTGCATGTTGTGCGGCCCGATAGACAGCACGCTGATGGCAACTGGGGATCAAAGAAGTTGTTAATGCAGAAGCAACACACTCTGATGTTGAGATTCAGAATCCCCGAAGCACCAGCGGACAGTCAGAGATACAGCGAAGAACACACACGCACAGTATCATCCGCATCGCAACTGTGTGCACGCTCACACACGAGAACCAGACACATGCTGACCGCCACAAAGCACTTGTCCGGTTCTGCAACCAGCCCAGGTCTTTTAACCCTCTCCTGGCTCACTTGATAATACATGAACAGGGAGCAACGACACTGTTTAATGCTCGTCTTTTGTTATCCAGGACAGTGTTTCTGGAAGAATCTTAAACAAAAACAAAAAAAAAAAACAGCCCCCGTCGATGAATGTAACGTTTACTTTCGTCAAACGGACAGTAGCTGTGTATAATATTCCGCTGTCAGCAGGATTATGAGTCCGTGCTGTGTGTTGACAGCGAGGGGAGCAGGGGAGCGCAGGAAGACAGCAGTTGCTGCATTTTAATGGCTTTGATTTGGGAGGGAAATCTTATATAAGACCCCATCCCTCACCCCCTTTACTGCACTGCAATGCAGCAGCAGCCCCCCTCCACAGAGCTCTGGGTACACACGTGTGCACACGCGAACGCATGCACACCCGAGCCAAGAAGTCAACACAATAGCCTTTAATACCCGGGTTCTCTTATGTGGCACCGTGAGAAGCCCCGGTTTATAAGCACACCTGTTACAATTCTACTTATGAAACACCACCTGAATGCAGGGCTCGCGCCAGCTATACCGCGGACGCAACGCCCACACTTGTGCAGTTCACTCACATTAGCTTTTTTCGCTCCACAGTGGGCTCTGTCCACGCGCTAATGTATAGAAGCATCCAATTTCCCTGAGCAGGTGTTGCTTTTGTAAAATCATGGAGCGGCAGAGTCACACTAATGACTGTCAGCTAAGAGAGGTGTTTTCTCCCGTAGAGTCCTGATGCACGTCCTGCTGTGTGCTTTCTTAATGCCAGACGAGGCCCCTTTATTGCACCAAGACCGGACCTTAGGGGGAATTATTATCATTAGAGGAAAGCTAATGCACAAGGGATGAACGGGATGAATGTGAAAAGGTGTTGACTTGTGTCTGCTGCTGGAAACAGGTGGACAAATATCTGCTTGTTCTTATATTTCTTGTTGAATCATTTTTTTTCTGCTTGTAATTATAATGAACACAGCCAGTATCCCTAATATGCAGTCACTTGTCATCATAAGTGTTTTTAAAATGTATTAGCTGATATCAAATAACAACAAATACTTAAATTAATTGTCATGTTTAATCTTTATTTAATTAAACTCACTCCTCATCATCAGCTGTGGAACAAACAATGTGTTTCATAGATTTGCCTTTCTGTGACTGTCATCCCAGTGCTGCCAACCTGTTTTAACCTCTCCTTTGCCAGACGGCACAGTTTAATGTGGAACATTTCTCAGGGATGCACAACTGGTACGCCTGCTCCCACGCACGGCCCACCTTCTGCAACGTCTGCAAAGACAGCTTGTCTGGGGTCACGTCTCACGGCCTCTCCTGCGAAGGTAGGTGGCACACACAGATGCTGTCAAACACGTCAATGCCTCAATTAGTTTATACACACAGTATTTTCTTTAGCCTCTTCATGCAGCGCTCACTCGTTTCTACGTCTCATCGCTGGCTCTCGTAGACGGACTTCCTACTCTCTGTTTAGAGACATCAGACACACTTTATGTAGCGTTGCAACGGATGATTTGGCACCGCAAGCCTGGGAGTCGGCAGGTCTATAGGAAGGTGTATGACTATGTTGCGTAAGGACTTGTGAGTCATTGAAGTGAGAAAAGTCTTTGTTCAAATGTCTGTCTAAGTGGAGCAGATTGGATATACCGCAGCCAGCGTGCGGCCTTTGAAATGCTCTCAGTTTCAGAGCGGGGTGCCCATCAAACTTTTAGCTTGAAGTATAGGAAAAGAGCTTGTGGTGAACTGCTGGCACAGTCTCTATCCATATGCTTTTGAGTCATACTGTGTGTTAGATAAGGCATTGACTCACGCTATTTGAATTTCATTTCTCACATATCTCCAATTGAACCATAACGAAAAAAAGACAGAAAGACTGATAACAGATCCTGTGAATGACGCAACCTCTCCTCACCTCATCTGTGAAAGAACACTAAAGTGGAGTGCTAAGAGGACGGAGTTGACATGGGGGGCTGGTGTAAAGTGTCAGTGACAGGCAGCACACCTTAATGAGCACCATCTGCATATCCTCTCCTTCTAATTTAGCTAATGTTCCCCTGTGCATGTGTTTGCGTGCGCACGTCTCACACACACGCACGTCTCACATAGTCCGTGTATGTGTGTGTGTGCGCATGCGTGCGTACATGTGTGCTTGGTTTGGCGTGTAGAGTGTGATGGCAGTAAGAGCCTCTCCACTCAGGGCTCATTATCCTCTACAATGCCGACCCTCTCACAACCAGAACAGAGAGCAAATGAAGGAGACGTAGAGCGATGGAGAGTCATCAGAGCAGCATCAAACCCTTGTGATTCTAAATCGGCTTATCCCGCTCTACACACTTTCAACAAACAATAGGAAGAAGCAACTCGCAGGGCCTTCGTCTAAACATGGAGTCAGGGTTTACAGTAGACACAAGCTCTTTATTGGCCTCGTAAAGATTCCCGTTAGATTTATTAGCCCATTTGATAGTTAAGCGATAGATGCACTGCCGGAGCAATTTTGTTGGCACATGATATTTTGATTTAATGCACCTTGCATTATTATTTTGGACATGTGGTGGTCGGATATTCGATGCACAGTGTTGCACATGTAGGGGCAAAGGTGACTGGAAGAGGAGGGCACAGGTAGAGGGAGCACCCACACTGTGCGTTCCAATACCCAAACTACCAAAGATTTAGTGTGTCCCAATACATAGTATGTCACATACAGTATTCCCAATTGGTGCCTACTGATGTTTGTCTCCAGGCAAGATCGAGAGACAGTGAGAAGGAGATGATCGCCCGTGAGGATGAAACAGTATGTGAGAATGGCACAAAAAAGGAGAGAAGAAAAGACAGTAGAATAGAGCAGGAGAGCTTCTCTATTAAATGTGGAGAGCAGCCAGTTTCACAGCAATTACGCAGCTTAAATTTCCCTTCGATTTCTTGCGCATGGCGGTCGGTTTGGGATTGATTTGTGCTACCTAGCCACACACACACATAGACAAACCCTTCTGTCTCCGTTTCATCCTCACACAAACACTCACTCTCATATACACACAATGTTTTCCTCCAGTCTGGCTGTGTAAATGCTCGGGGTATGGCCTGGCCATTAACAGGCAGTGGTATCATGTCCTCTGAATTCTCTTAATGCTCTGCTAATGCTCCCTAAATGCATTTAGCGGTAGACTAAATTGAAACATCAATTGTTGCTCCCGGATATGACTCTGATTCAGTTTGTATATCTGCGTAGACTTCCCAATGACAATAGTGTGTGTGTGTGTGTGTGTGTGTGTGTGTGTGTGTGTGCGTGTGTGTCAGTGATGTGTGTGAGTATGGGTGGGGTGGCTGGAAGCAAAGTTCCCCAGAGCACAGACATTATTCATGAGTCTGCTAAATGCCTCATCCTTAATGGAGAAAAAGGGCGAGATCAATCTCCATCTGCCTATACATCTTCATAGGAGCCGTTCGTGCTCTATTTGCATTTCACTCTTGTGTTCCTTATTCAGAACAACCTGCATTAAATACATTAAAGTCAAATGTGTGAAATGTCGTAAGTGCTTTTCCTGGCGTTACAGTGGCTGGCTCCTCGTACTGAGAGAACGTGACAGATGGACGGTATTAATGGTTTTATAAGTCACTTAGTTACAGGATCTCTGTTTATCTTTGTTGTTATTCTGTTACTTCAACCATTTTAAAGGAATAGTTGTAAATGTTTTGGGAAATAAACTTTTCTGCTTTCTTGCTGGGAGTTAGATGAGAAGATTGATACCAAACTCATGTCTGTTGAATACCAAACTGGAGCCAGGAGACGGTTAGCTTAGCTTCGCATAAAGCAGGGGTTCTCGACCTTTTGTGACTTAAGGGCCAGTACTTATTGTAAAAAAGAAATTTGATGACCAACTTCCGCAATAATTAAAAAAAAAAACATGACAGCTTTAGAGTTGCTGGTAGTTGGATTGCTGTTTACCTTTGGAGAGAGCCAGGCTAGATGTTCCCCCATGCCTACAGTCTTTGTGCTAAGCTAAGCTAAACCAGAAGCTGACTGTTGCTTTCGATGTTTTTTTTTTACAGTGCTACAATATGAAGCTGCTGAGTCACTTTAAGGTGGAAAACATCAACAGACTGATACAGTATGTGTATTGACTTTGTGTTTTTCAGTGTGCAAATTCAAAGCCCACAAGCGCTGCGCTGTCAGAGCCACTAACAACTGTAAATGGACAACCCTGGCTTCAATAGGGAAGGATATCATTGAGGATGAGGATGGGGTAAGTTTGCGTGTTAAGAATTAGCTTGACATTCCTTTAGCTAACTGTGTAAAAACGTAGCCTTGTTTTGTATCGAGAGTTTGTTACCTATGATGGTTTAAAATGATGTTCTGGAGGCTTCTGGGAAAATACTGAATCACTGACTTGTATTGTATGTTCATGAGAAGAAAGGCTCATATGTTCTATTACATAATAATGCAAAGTGTGTTAGAATTAGTGCGCTTTGACTCAACTCGCTCATGCTCATGGATTCATCAGTGTCAGAAAAAGATGAGAGATTTGGAGCCGGTGGCAATAGAGTAAAGTGTTCCCTAGAAGATATGAAAGATAAAAGTGGACAGCGTAAAGTGTTCCCCCGTTCTTGAACCGTGTTTTGTGTTGGACCCACAGATTGCCATGCCTCACCAGTGGTTGGAAGGCAACCTGCCTGTCAGTGCCAAGTGTGCTGTGTGTGATAAGACATGCGGCAGCGTACTGAGGCTGCAGGACTGGCGCTGCCTCTGGTGCAAAGCCATGGTAAGACGTCTGTCGCACGTGCACCATGCTTAATGTGCCCCTTGCCAAATTACAATGAAACAGGATTAAGATCACACAAGAAGCTGATTGTTTGAATCGCAATCGAAACATTTAGGACAGCGATGAGCAGCGTCTCGGCATTGAACGCGGCTTGTTGATAGCCTTGTATTTCAAAATGCATGTTAGCCTGGAACTGCATCTCATTGTTTAGCATGCTAGCAACCAAAATCAGGTCACAACATTTCACAAACTGAACTGAACAAACCAACTGGAATGCTGCATTATGGTTTTTCAGTAGTCGATCCATTTTGGCAGTACCCCGAGGGAATTACATCATTGCTGTTGTACTTTCTTAAATTGATCCGTAGTATTTGCTGTTCTTTTAGGTGCACACCGCCTGTATGGACCTGTACCCTCGCAAGTGTCCTCTTGGTCAGTGCAAAGTCTCCATCATCCCCCCCACGGCGCTCAACAGCATCGACTCTGATGGTAGGCACCCCCCCCCCCCCCCACACACACACACACACAATACAATCACGCTGACTCACTCAAAGGGTCAGAGGTTGGTGCCGGACGGCATCTGTGAGCAATCGATACATATCAGAGATGAACAAATGAGATTTCACCCCGTTTAGTCGAGCCGATGTCTATTCTCTGAACTGTGACCTTCTGCCCTGTCACATGGAAGACCGGTGGCAGAAGGGAGGAGAGGGAGAGAGTGATGATTCACATCCGTTCAGGCACACAATGTCTCTTTTTCCCACCACCCACTTCTCCTGTGAACCACTGGAACATGTGCTGGAAAACAGAAAAAAAAGACAATTTTACTATTCTCTCTTTGTGTTGTGGGTCTCACCATTGAATCCATGCTTTCTTTACGAACTTCCTGTTAGTCATATTAGAGAGAGGGACCGGCCACTGGTATTTGTTCCAGGAAATTGCCAGTTCCTGGTGTGCCGAGGTGGTTAAAAATAGCCCTATATGACAGGAGGGCACACACCTCTCTGAAGGCTGAAAATAAATCCCCTTCAGACAAGATGTGTGTGGGAGAGGAATCATAATTAGATAAATCCTAACTTGCCGTCAAAATGGACACACGTATTCATCATCATGTAATATTTCATAAAAGCACGCTGACACCACAGAAGAAGAGGAGCCTTGCAGATTCTGCAAAGCTCCCTGAGGCTCCCTCCAGGTTATCTGTTCAACACAGTATGTGTGTGTTGTCTGTATTTCTTTGTTCATACATGACCACTCTGTCTTTCTCTGTGTATAAGTACGTGTGTGTGTGTGTGTGTGTGTGTGTGTGTGTGTGTGTGTGTGTGTGTGTGTGTGTGTGTGCGCGCACTTTCCAGAGGCTGCATTAAACCCATTTTAGATGGTGATCGGCACCTGCAAGACAGACTCAGATAAGCGTGTGTGATTGAATTACTGTTGCGGAAGTCAATGGCTGGGTCTCACTCACACACACACACACACACACACAGCCTGTGAAAAGCTGGCATTGGCTAATTGGTAGATGGATAAAAGAGAGGCAGGGAAAGGGAGGATAGGGAATCCAGATGAAAGGAGGAGGACAAGAAAAAAAGCAGAAAAAGGAAGAAGGGCAAAGAAAAAAATAGACTCTCTATAACTCTCTCTCTCTCTCTCTCTCTCTCTCTCTCTCTCTCTCTCTCTCTCCTTCACTCGCTGTGCATCTCCCCATGTTCCAGGACCCCCTCTGCCCAAATGCAGGCTGGGAAGAGGGGGAGTTTGGTTATAATTGGCTGAGGGGCAGACTGTAGCACGTGCTGGAGCGTTGTGACTCCCCTCCCTTCCCCTCTCCTTTTCTTCCACCCACCCTCCCTCAATCCATCCGTTACTGACAACACCACAGAGAGAGAGAGAGAGAGAGAGAGAGAGAGAGAGAGAGAGAGAGAGAGAGAAATCCAGAAAGGAGAAGAAAAAATCATAGAGGGTAGACGGAGAGATTAGAGAGCAGAAGGAAGACGTGAAGGGGGAGAAGGAAAGGAGGGAGTGCCAGGAGTAGATAGCGGTGCCACACACACACATATGGTGGATGCCCTCATACGCACGGAGCTGTCAACACAGTGGGGGTGCACAGATTATGCTGCAAGCGCAGAAACCTCTTGTTGCATTACCTCCCACAGATTAGTGTGTGTGTATGTGCGCTCGTGAGTGTGCGTTCGCGCTCTGGTAGGGAGCGAAACACGTGTTTTTGGCATGTGCTGCGCTCCCATGCATTATTACGCTCAGTTTGAGCACACACCGGGACCGAGATGAGGTCGTTTAAACGATGACAGGGCCAGCTACTGTGTCCAGCACTGCTGCGATAGTTTGTGCTGTACCCTGGTTACTGGTTACAGAAGGTTAAATGATTGGCTCAAGTCACGTTCATTTTGTTTATATAGCCGACAAATCAAAAATGTGACACTACCAAACCAGGTATCAAAACCAGGCCACCAGTCTTAGATCCTAGATTTGAGTAAGAAAAAAGTGTTTAACTTGGAAACACAAATGGAAGAAACCGCAAGAAGAGCAACGGAGGAGGGATCCTTCTCCCAGGACAGACAGACGTGCAATAAAGAAATATATTAACATTACAGTATGGACAATCAGGATGACAAAAGTACAGATAGAATGCTAAAAATGTATGAAGAATACTATCTGGGAGATAATATCCTCCTCTCCACCACAGAGACCTGGAAAGAGGACGGACGACATAACACAAAAACATATTCCTCTGCTTACCTCTAGTACTATCCAGTCACGCAGGTTGTTTGAGTTGCATGAAATGTGGGTTTTTGTGCTCAGAGCATTCAACACATATTCACGTTTCTCCTTTTCTGTCGCCATTTCCCCTCAGGCTTCTGGAAGGCCACCTGTCCCCCGTCATGTGCCAGTCCCCTCCTGGTCTTTGTCAACTCCAAAAGTGGTGACAACCAGGGGGTTAAATTCCTACGACGCTTCAAGCAGCTCCTCAACCCGGCTCAAGTCTTTGACCTGGTCAACGGTGGACCGCACCTCGGGTGAGGAAAACAAACAGAAAACAGCTCCTGGACTGCATTCCAGAGCATCGCTTGCCATCGTTAAAAGCTGATCCTATAGATTAAGTAAATAAATGTTTGTGTGTGTGTGTGTGTGTGTGTGTGTGTGTGTGTGTGTGTTTTTGTTAGCCTGCGCCTGTTTCAGAAGTTTGACAACTTCCGGATCCTGGTGTGTGGAGGCGATGGGAGTGTGGGCTGGGTCCTCTCAGAGATCGACAAACTCAATCTTCACAAACAGGTAAACTGAAACCGCATTGAGCAAAACTTTACATATTATTTGTATGACGGTCAGTTATTTCGCCTGGATTCCAAATAAATTACAAGTGCCTTCTATCACAAACATATTAGGTAGATAATCCTCCTTTGAATGCATAACTTGCCAGAACAGAATGAGCTGCAAGTAAATGCGATGTGTCTTTGGCCAGTGTGCCAGTTGAGCTTTTTGCCTTTGCCCCTGGCCAGCTTACATAAAGACACACACTCATTATACACACACAAAAACACACACACACACACACACACAGACCTCATTTTGATTGGAGCAGGGATGAATTCCCCGGATGCCAAATAAACCCTCTGCACGTGTTTCAGTGCCAGCTGGGGGTGTTGCCCTTGGGCACGGGCAACGATCTGGCCCGGGTGCTGGGCTGGGGCCCTTCGTGCGACGATGACACCCAGCTTCCCCAGATCCTGGAGAAGTTGGAGAGGGCCAGCACCAAGATGCTGGACCGCTGGAGCATCATGACCTACGAGATTAAGATCCCACCCAAACACAGCTGCCCCACCACGCCCGAGGGAGCCGACGACTGCCAGGTACTCACAGGAGATGACAGATATTCACACGCATCAGTAGACACGATCAAACCCAGCGGGGCTTCCAGACGAATGGGAGTTGGGGGTAGCAGAGCACATGCTGGAAAGAGTGCCAGGCATTTTCAAGTCAACTTCACCTCAGCTTTGGTTCAAAACTGGACAAAGAAAAAGGAATTTCCTGACGAATCCCTTTCTCATGACATACTTTTCTAAAATGTTGTAATTTTTTTAAGTACTGATGAGAGAAATCTGCTTTCAACTATAATGCTTATTGCTACAAGACAAACAAACCGTCATGTGTGTCCTCAACGTTTGTTTTCCCCCAGTTTCACATTTCAGCCTATGAAGACTCAGTAGCTGCTCACCTCACAAAGATCCTCAACTCTGAGCAGAACTCTGTGGTCATCTCCTCTGCCAAGTACGTGTTTTTAACGCGTCAGCACGACCCCAAACAGGCGGCCTAGTTTTTCTATCCATCTATCCATCTATCTAACAGTAAGACAATAGTCTAATGGTGCAGAGTGCAAAGGGTGCTGGAATAAATGTGGAATGATAAATACAACAGGTTGCTTTATATATAAGTATGGCATATATACACTGTATACAGCAATTTGGTATTGACATGCACTCAATGAATAATGATATAGAAAGAAACAATAAGATAGATAAAATAAAATGAGAAAGGACAGCACAAAATGCTAAAATTGGAAAAGTCGATCAGATGTCGATGCTCAATGTCATCTTTTGTTTGTCATACATTATAACCCCAAACACTCATGTTTTCCTTCTGTTGTTTAGGATCCTGTGTGAAACAGTGAAGGATTTTGTTTCCAAAGTGGGGAAAGGCTACGAAAAAAGTACAGACAACAGTGAGGGGTGCGGCACGATGTCTCTCAAAGTAAGCCTCAAAGACAATGCAGTTATCATCCATCACCCGCCACGCCCTGTATATTACATTTCCTCTGAATGCTGCCACAGCACTACATCTATCCTCTTGTTTGTTCCCCCCCAGTGTGCCATCCTGAATGAGAAACTGGACTCCCTCCTCCAGACACTCAACTCAGAGTGCCAGGCTCTACCTTCACTCCCCCACTCCACTCCTCCTATCGTGGAGGAGGAGCAGGAGGAGGAGGAGGAAGAGGAGGAGGCCAGCGAGGAGAGCCTGACGGAGCTGAAGGAGAAGATGGAGGAGGAGGAGACGGAGAAAGGAGGAAGAGGGGCCCCACACCAGCTGTTCAAAAGCAGGGAGCAGATGATGCTCCGGGCCAACAGTCTGAAGAAAGCCCTGCGACAGATCATAGACCAGGCCGAGAGAGGTAACAGATACCGAGTTGTTATGGAGGCAAAACCCACCTGAAACTACTACATACAACTTTTTATTTGCTAAAAAATGTATTAATATCATTCCATGTTGCCATACATTTGGAAAAGCAGTTTTTTTATGAGGAAAAAGGCAAAAATGAATGCTTATCATGCAGAAGGAACTTGTTGAAAGTTGTCCTGCACATGCATTGTGGCATGTGGCGCATACCGTATTGTCTTTTTATCCCTCCTGTCTTGTTTAGTGGTGGATGAGCAGAACGCCCATACGGAGGACACCGAGCCGCCGTCTCCCCTGGAGTTCAGGAAGGAGAACGAGGAGGAGAACAGAGACAGTGAGAAGGACGAGGACACCAAGGAACTGGAAGCAGTGACATGTAAGTGCTTCTGCTGCTGCTGCTGCTCAAATCTCTAAACCTGCATGTCCTGCAAACCTTTTTAGCCGCTCTCCACTGATGCATTTTCATCCTGGGGCCATTTCCAAAGCACTTAACCTGTCCAGCCTTGCCTCTTTGATTTCCAAGTGTCCCACTTTGCCAGCTGGCATTATTCCCAGTCACTTAAAGGATATCTTATTTAATTAGTGGTGGAGGTCTATTTTAAGAAGATAACTCAGTAGAATTTGGCGATGTGTTAAAACACATTCCTCCTCTCTTTGTTCTACTGAGAGAGGGAAACGTTGCTATTCCCATCATTTAGGCAAACAGAGGCAAAAATTGTAAACAGAAGACTTTTAAGATTATTCTGCTTTGTGAAGTGATTTGGTGCAATAGGAGATCACACAGGATTTAAATGTCGCCCCCTTGTGTATATTACAGAAGCAGACACATAGCTAATGGAAAAAAAAAAGTGCTGCTGACGCAAATCATGTTTCCTGTCATAAATAAACTCAAGGATTAGGGCTAAAAGCGCACGGAGAAAAACCCTGCTTTCCTGTCATATTCCATCTCTTGCAGCAAGCCGAGCTGTTTATCTCTCCATCTTCCGTCTGCAGCAACAGAGAACTTCTTTAATAATAAACGATTGAACCTGTCAAAACTGCAGCGTCGGGACAACCATGAAGCCTGTGTGTGCCTGTTCATATGTATCTGAATCTGTGTAATATAGGCAGCGTGGATGTGGATGCATATGCACGTGTGAACGTCTATTGTGCCTCCATGTGAGGGTGTGTGTGTGTGTGTGTGTGTGTGCGCGCGCGACGGCCACAGGATGTGTTATTGTCTTAGGGGCAGAAGTTCTTCCTGTTTATCATAAGGCTGCTTCCTTCCTTCCACACATTTTCCAGCCGTTGGAAGACGAGGAGGTATCAGTCAAACCCTCCGCTTTGTGTCCTCTCCTTGTTTCCTCTTATCGCCTCCTTGCTCCTTCCTGACCTGGACACAAATCAAAAAACAATCAGTGCGAGCAGAAGGGATTATTAAACCCGCGTTTTAGTAAACTCTTAGCCTCCCAGTCGGCCCGATTTTGCATGTATTTGTTGCCCCATGGAGGATTCACGTGGGGTCGGCATGAGCAGTGATGATGCTATGTGGCAAACACGCGATGTTCAGAGGCTGTCATCGTGCATTCACATGGAAAAACAGCTGAAAGCTAAAAAGAAGAGAGGCAACGTGAAGCTTTTTCCGGTGTGACACTACCTAACTAAGCACGCACATCTCTAAATGTTTTACAGATTTCTTTCCCAATTTAACTTGCATGTTGCACTCGATGTACATATTTGTGTGTATATGTATGCACATATACATATGTATAAACACAGCTGTATATCTTCCTTAAATAAATAAAAAATAAAATGTAATTTTTTATTTTTTATTTCTTATTAGTGGCTGACAAATCAAGCTTGGTACATGCACAGCAACAACAATAATATTTAGCTCCCAAATCCTTCAGAGTCAAAGCATCATCTTCACAAATATATGTTGACTAAAAACAACAACAACCTTTTATTGATTTCCTGCTTTTATTCTGAAGGCTAGAATAAAAGTCCTATTATTTATGGTGGAGTATGCCTACACTAATATACAGTATGTATACTGTTATGAATATGAATACAATGTTTTAATATCAATTGACCATTGAGTATCAACCTAATTATAAGGATTTTATATGACAATATTGTCAAAGACGGCTATTAAATATTAGTTTGTTTTCCTCCCAATATGGCAGCCGTACCCACTCACAGCAGCTGTGGCGAGTTTTGTTATGCCACCTGATGAGAGGGTGGCATCACATTAAACAGTGAGGTCATTGTGTACCCTCTATTGTGTTCTGCCCTAAGGAACCACAAATAATGAACCAAAAATGTTTAAACAATTTGAGTAGAGAAACACATTGATGTGAATGATAGGAATTCTTTCTCTCTTGTCTCCAGCTATTAAGAGTCACTGTTCTCCCACGGAGAGGAGAGTGAGCCGCAGCACGCAGTCCTACAGCTCCTTCACCATCACCCCCTTCACCACCAGCAAGGAGAACCTCCCGGTACTCAACACTCGCATCATCTGCCCTGGTAAACGCATCACTTTCTGTTTCATTTCCTTCTCCTGACCTTAACGAAACACACAAGGACAGGGTCACTTGGATATTTCAGCTCAGCCTCGTGTGTTTGTTTGTGTGTGTGTGTGTGTGTGTGTGTGTGTGTGCAGGCTTGCGGGCAGGTCTGGCTGCCTCCATCGCTGGCAGCTCCATCATTAGCAAGATGCTGTTGGCTAACATCGACCCCTTTGGTGCCACACCGTTCATCGACCCCGACCTCGACTCACTGTAAGCGGCGTTCCTCGTTGCGCGTCTCCTCCCATCTTCGTCACTGTTTGAATATCTGTCCTCTCTCTGACCATTCGCGTGTAAATCTATACCCACATCCGTGTGTCACTTTGTCCTTGATATATTTGTGTGTGAGCTTCAGCTTACTGACTGTTTGTCTGCTTGTGTGGCTGTCAAGAGAGGGCTACATGGAGAAGTGCGTGATGAACAACTACTTTGGCATCGGCCTGGACGCCAAGATCTCCCTGGAGTTCAACAACAAGCGAGAGGAGCACCCAGAGAAATGCAGGTGAGACACATTTCTGTTACCAGGCATCTCTCAGCCAATCAAGCCACATCAATCCTATCAATTAATCATGAAAGCTGCTTCATTGCCTACATCTATATTTAGAAAGCTTTACTAATGATTGAATTCCTCCTCATATACGACATTTATTATGATTACTCAAGATGATATTGCTTGTTTTCTTGTGTTTTGACTCTTAAAGAAGTAAGTATCCTTTTATTAAGTGAGAAACCTTCTTGTATCTGGGTAGTTTATAACTGCACTCCTTCCCTCTGTCCGCTGTAAAACCCTTTTGTTTTTCACCTCACCGTAAACCTCCCTCTCTGCATCCCTCCCACACAGGAGTCGTACCAAGAACATGATGTGGTACGGCGTTTTGGGCACAAAGGAGCTTCTGCAGAGAACATACAAGAATCTGGAGCAGAAGGTCCAGCTAGAGGTGAGAAGGGGAGGAACAGCGGAGAAGGCTTTACTTAGACTGTAAAAGTCGTGCAGTATGTTCAAAGACAGACGTCATCCTGCACGCTTTACTATAAAACTTAAGTGTAAAAAAACGAAAAACATCTACTTGACACTTGTAGTCCCAGGCAGCTGAAGGCACCAATCTGCAAACAGTGGGGAGTGATTTAGATGAAGATGTTACTCGCCGCCTCTCAAGAGTCTCTCTTGAACTCCTATTTAATCTCCGCGCGTTGCAGATGTAAGGGGAAGCATGATTCCGCAACTGCACAGTTTATTTCTCACCTCAAATTTATTCAGAGACTGATTTGGACTGTTCAGGAGAAACAACGTCTGCAGAACAGCTGACACGCTTTTCCAGTCTGAAGATTTACAAAGAATAAAAACACTTCCAGCCTAGAATATTGTGTGCTTATCGGCTCGGGTGCAGGAGAGTCATGAAGTGATGTCCTCCCAATATAAGGACCAATTATGGCAACCTGTCTAGACAATTGGGTATTTAGGATTAGTATCAGGTTTAATACCTGTCTTAAATGCCCATGTATACCACATAAATTGTATTATATCCAACGAGAAATGGTCTTTTTTTTATGGCTTTATGGCTCTTTGCTTTTGCTGTGAAATTGGACTTCAAGTGAAATAAAGGTGGCAACAAAAGGGTCTGATTGCATAACAAAAGCTAACTTTTTTTTACTCCGAATTTATGGAAATGGTGGCGTGTTCTGTATACTCTTAGATAAAAACAAAACACAATACATTGTCTTGCTTAGAGTATTGCAATACGTCACGGTATATTGAATCATGACCCCTGTATCATGATACATATTGTATTGCCATATTCTTGCCAATGCACAGCCCTATTCGATTTGATGTTCATGAAACCTACGGACTTCTGCAATAGACACATACAGTACGTATAGCTTCCCTGCTCCCGTCACTTACTGGTCCGCTCGGTTGTTATTTGCCTTTCCCAGTGTGACGGCCAGTACATCCCCCTGCCCAGCCTTCAGGGTATCGCAGTGTTAAACATTCCTAGCTACGCAGGCGGGACCAACTTCTGGGGCGGCACCAAGGAGGATGATGTGAGTACACTTACAGTACACAAGAGGAACTCTTTGTAATGTTCCAATTTGGCTGGAAGCCCTTGGTAGGCGACTGAGATCACCTTTAGAGAGGAAAGGGGGAGTGGTTTTTTTTGTTCTTTTCCTCCTCAAGCCAACGTCAGCAGTTGGCCGGACCGCTGGATCAACGCTCCACCTCTCACTGTGTCCCTCTCGTTTTCTCTGTTGTTAAATATGGAAAGACTGCCTGGATCCTGGTTTAGCATGACCCCGATAGCCTGGAGGTGCAGGGGGAGGGATGGTTAGAGAGATATTTGTGCTTGTTTGTTTGAGGCGCAGAGTACAAGGGCTGCTGAGGGATTAGAGTCAGTTTGCACACACACACACACACACACACACACACACAAACACACCCCTTAGTGAGCCCCTGCAGAGTTTACCCTTGGACACACATACAGTATGAGCATTTGGTGTTATGTAACTGTTTTGTTGGAGTGGAGGAAACAGGGAGAGGACATTTATTTATTGCACGCACACACACAGACACACACATTACAATTTAAGTTTTTATCTTAGTCTCCAAATAGATCGATTTGTTTTGTGGTTCAATCGTACATTTTGACACATTGCGGCTGACCTGTAGCTTCACTATAAAACAAAGAGTGGGTTTATATGAAAATAGAGTTAGAATACTCATAATTGGTACCAAACACTGATGATAAATAGAGAGATGTTGCTTTTGCAGATCAACATGTTACCACCTCTACTTCAGCAGTAGGCGCAGTACAGGAGGCTTTACTCAATGTGCTTTGGTTTCCATCTAGTGACCCAGGGCACACATGACAACGCTTCAGATCATGCTGTTTGATCATTTAATCTCTCAGCGAAATGTTAACTATCCAGCAAAAGAAATAGTTTTCTCCTCATTGCTTTGACCTTTTCACGGGCAGTTTGCAGGCAGAGATCGATACCAGACTTGTCGGGAGCCTCTCCTTTCAGAAACAATTCATGTCTCGTTCAGGCTGCGGCTAAACGGAGCTGACAAGGAAAACTTTCTCCTTTGAGGCAATATATAGGCAATCATATAGTTTTAATACATACATATATTTTAAAGAATTATAATCACTGTTAAAATGTTATTATAAATTAATCCAAGTGGTCATTGTATGCTTTAAGTAAAGTGTAAAAAATAATTAAATGTATGCCAGATCAACAAACAAAATGTTGTAAAACTGAAAGCAAACCATGACCACTTAAAGTAAGTTATAATCACATATTATGCATTATTATATATATATTATTGTGCTGTTTTTATGTGCATCGTCAGTAAGAACAAAAGGATTTGGGACTCTGCCACAGACAGGGCAGGGTAGTCGAGGCGTTTTGAGAAATGGATGCACGCATTGTTTGGTTCCTGAATGTCATCGTTGTGCCGTGCAGATCTTCTGTGCCCCGTCGTTTGACGATAAGATCCTGGAAGTTGTGGCTGTGTTTGGGAGCATGCAGATGGCTGTGTCCAGAGTCATCAAGCTGCAACACCACCGCATCGCACAGGTGCGAACGCACATAAAACAAACAATATGAAAAGAAAAATGCACACGCTTATAGGAATATGTTTATGTGATGTGTGCCTTTCTGCCCGAATCAGTGTCGAACGGTGAAGATTACTATCCTGGGTGACGAGGGAGTTCCCATTCAGGTGGACGGAGAGGCCTGGATCCAGCCACCCGGAGTCATCAAGATCCAGCACAAGAACAGAGCTCAGATGCTCACCAGAGATCGGGTGAGACAGAGGGGAGGGAGGGGAAGCGGAGGTGGCCTCTGGAATGTTTGAAATAAAATGAGTGAGGAGGCTGGGTTTTGAGTGAATCGTCCTGATGGACAAAGCTTTGCAAGATATGCACTCATCCTTTGATTTCCCCCTCGTAGGCGTTTGAGAACACCCTGAAGTCATGGGAGGACAAGTTGAAGTATGACAAGCCTCCTTTGCGGCCTCACCTCTACCCACAACAGTCTGTGGATCTGGCTACGGAGGAGGAGGCCGCCATGGTGCAGCTGTGCGCCCGAGCTGCAGAGGAGCTCATTACAAGGTAAAATATCAGGTCTCACTCTAGAAGGCCACACAGGCTTTACATATATATGTTAAATCATCATTTATAATTTATTTTTTGCCCACTGACATGTCTGATCCCAGGATATGCGAGGCTGCAAAGACCAATGGGTTTTTAGAGCAGGAGCTGGCTCATGCTGTTAATGCCTCGTCTCACGCCATCAACAAAACACACCCCAAGTTCCCGGAGGTAAGCGATCGACACGAATCACACAACATGTCGTGTTTTTCTTCCTACGTTGAGCCTCGGGATGTTGCTGTGTGTCAGCTGCATTTTAGGGTTGAAGTCAAGTTTAAATCCACGTTTTCATGAACCTATGAATGACGGAAGCTGCAGTTTTTTGTTTAAACACAATTTAGATTGAAGTATTTCAAAACATTAATATTTTTCTCTGTGTATGTTGTTACGGATTAATCCTTTAGAACGTGTCAAATTTCCCTCACAAACTGAAAAGGCCAATTTATAGCAAGCATGTGCTATCACCAGGCAACAACCTCCAGTTCTGAAGAGTGAAGCCAATGCGGAAGTGCCTTAAATTTGCATTCTCTCTACTGACCACCAGGAGGCGACTCCTCTGGTTGCATAGAAGTCTATGAGAAAATGACTCTACTTCTCTCTTGATTTATTACCTCAGTAAACATTGTAAACATGAGTTTATGTCTCAGTCTCTAGTTTCAAGTCTTCTTCAATACAGCATGATGTTCATTTAGTAAATGATGGTCCATTTAGAGTTCAGTTATACTTCAGCTCCACCCTTTCAAGACTTCTGGTTAAATATACCAAGATGGCGACAGGCAAAACGGCGAACTCAAGCCTCAAACCGTAGTCCCCAAACCAATGGGTGATGTCACGGTGACCACGTCCACTTCCTGTTTACATTCTATGAGTATGACTGCACTAGTTTTGTACTGAAGATATTCAAATGCTCAAAATGAGAAACACCTACCAGAATTGTTGAACAAAGTACGCTTTCACTGCTGTGTTTGTTGTACAATGTGTGAGATTATACTAAATAACGGTCGTATCCCGTTTCCAGAGTCTGACCAGGAACACAGCTATAGAGGTGGCCAGCACTGTCAAGGCTCTGTACAACGAGACAGAGTCCCTGCTGTTGGGCCGAGTCTCTCTGGTGAGTTATCATGGGGATTTTATCGTTACGATAATGACTTTCTTTCACTTTTACCACACATTATTTAATGTCTTAACCACACTATGACATTAAAGGATAGGTTTGTGTGTGTCCCGTCCCC